AAAAAAAAAAAAAAAAAAAAAAAAAGAATCCTTCTGTTTATGGATTTTATTTTTTTAGAAACAAGGTCTTGCTCTGTCACCCATGCTGGAATGCAGTGGTGCAATCATAGCTCACTGCAGCCTCAAACTCCTGAGATCAAGCAATCCTCCTGAGTAGCTGGGTCTGCTGGTGCAAGCCACCATGCCCAGCTAATTTTTTACTTTTATTTTTGTAGTGACAAGATCTGGCAAGGTTACCCAGACTGCTCTCAAACTCCTGGTCTCAAGCAATTCTTCTACCTTGGCCTCCCAAAGTCAGGGAATACAAGTTGAAGGTTTTTATGTAGGCTCCATTGTTTAGGCATGACTAATTCATTTAATTTTAATTATTATTTTTTAAGTCAGGGTCTCACTTTGTCACCCAGGCTGGAGTGCAGCAGCACAATCACAGCTCACCACAGCCTCAACTTCCTGGGCTCAGGCGATCCTTGCATCTTAGCCTCCCAAGTAGCTGGGACTACAGGTAAGCATCACCATGCCTGGCTAATTTTTTATTTTTGTACAGACAAGGTCTTGCTATGTTTTTTCCAGACTGGTCTTGAACTCCTGGGCTCAAGTAATCCTCCCACCTCAGTCTCCCAAAGTGCTAGCATTACATATGTGAGCCACTGTGCGTGGCTTGCATGACTGATTAAATCATTGGCCACTGGTAATTAACCCAATCTCATCCCCTCTCTTCTCCCTGAAGGGGTATGTGTTTTTGGGGGGTGGGAAGAGGGAAGGGTGTTGGGGAAGTGGAAGCCTGAATGTTCCAATCCTCCAACCACACAGTTTGTTCCCTGGCAACCAGCCCTATCCCGAGGGGCGCATGAAGAGTCACCTTATTAGCATAAACTCAGGTATGGTTGAAAGGGACTTGTTATGAATAATAAAAGACCCTCTTACCCCATCACTCACATATTCCAAGAGTTCTAGGAGCTCAAAGCCAGGAACCAGAAACAAAGATCAAATATATATACCTTCATATATCACACTATCACAGGGGAATATCTGGACATTGTTGGCAATAAATTTTATAGAAACTAAAAAGAGTCTGCAATACATCTCCATTTCCTGGAGTCCCATCTCACCACAATCACAGCAATCAAAGTCAACCCAAGTTCAGAGAGAAGAGACATCCCTAATTGCACAGCCTATTAGAAAACACTCACCGGTTTTTGGAGTCGTCCAGCAACATATAAGTTATTCCAGTTGAGGAGATCTTCAATCAGAATACTAGTGCTAATAACCCCATATTTGATAAGCTGGTAAAGAAACAGGCATGAAAAAGAGTAAAATACCAGTTGTTACTTATGCAAGAATGAAATATAAGGAAATAGATCAAATTCTTGATCATAGTATTTTGAGTTCCAAAGCCATTCAAGATGCCTACCTTGTGAAACACACACCTCCACCAAAACTTTTGAAAGATTTAGTGTCCAAGATTGGTTTGGCCCCAAAATTGTGTGAGGTGAACTGACACTATTTTTAACTTAGGTCCATGTGATGTTAAAAGTGGAATGGCTCTGAGATGCTATCTAATGATGGTCCTCAATGGTTTGGAAATAAAAAACTGCTCCTTCCCCAAAAACAGTTTGAGGAGTGATGACTTAGTTCTTATTCATCAATGGAGAAATAAAAAACTTGAGGCCTAGAGAGGACAAACGACATGCTCAAGGTGGCACTGATAGTTAGGAGAGTCAAAACTAGGCCCCAAAACTTCAGTCTGATCTTCTAATGTTTTTTTCATTACAAGATACAATAAATTTTTAATTAAAAGTTTTCACTGACATCTCTACATAATGAATTTCTCTTTTGCTCCTATTCCGGACATTTTTATAATTACAAAGCAATATCCGAACATAAAACTTCTCTATCAGTGTTAAACACATGAAATTATGGTCAAGCCTACTTCAATAATAATTTGTATAAACCCTGAGCATAGATTTCCCAAGTTATAAAGTCCCATTTGCATTAACCAGCACCTTCAGACCCACTTTGCTGAATTTCAGTATTCAAATAGCCTTCTCAGGCTGCAAATATCTAAAAAGTAGCTAAAATTTTCAGTAAAAAAGTATAGTCTTTTGGCATATAATTATATCCAAACATTTGGTTACTGGAGTTTGTAATACTGTTTGAAAACTACTAATTAGAGAGAGGCTCAGCAAAATATTAATTATGAAGAAAGAACAAAGCTATGTGTTTTTTTTATTTGTTTGTTTGTTTTTGAGTTGGAATCTCACTCTGTCGCCCTGGAGGACTGGAGGGCAGTGGCTGCTCCCGGCCACCGCAGCCTCAACCTGCTGGGCTCCGGCGATCCTTCTGCCTCAGCCTTCCAAGTAGCTGGAACTACAGGCGCGCACTACCACGCCCGGCTAGTTTTTTGATTTATTGCAGAGATGAGGTCTCGCCAAGTTGCCCAGGCGGGTCTCGAACCCGCAGGCTCAGGCAATCCACTCACCTCAGCCTCCCAAAACACGGGATTACAGGCTGAGCCACCGAGCCTGTTGAGTTGTTGAGTCTTAGTGGGCATCAAAATCCCCTGGAGTACATGCCTTTGGGACACATGAATTACTGGGTCCCACCCCTAAAGTTCTGATTCAGTAAGTTTGGGATAGGGCTTGAGAATTTGCATTTCTAACAAGCTTCTAAGTGATACTGAAGCTACTTACCTAGAACCACTGGTTTGGTCCTTGGGAAGGAATAGTCAGGCCAGATTAGAATCAGGTAGAGATAAAATTAATCTCAAAGGAGGAGCAAACACTGCCAGGAAGAAGTTGGAAATGAAGAGGGTGTCCAGCAGGAGTATGAATGTTTCCTGACTCCAAGAATTAACATATATAGTTGGCATTCTAATAACAAAAGTTAACAGTCACCCAAGCTAGGGCAAAGACTTGAAGTCACTTACCCTACCATCACACATGATCAGTGAGTTGTAGTAAACTCCAGCACCATAGTTATTCTGTATGGATGTGATCATCTTGGGCCCGAAAACTTTTAAGAAAGAGTAGTGGCTCCAATTTCTCTTCAGGTTCTTTGAATGCCATGCAACAGGGTCATCTACTGTGAACACGAAGTCCAGCATGCCATTCTGTGAGGTGAAGAAAAGAGAATGATTTCAGTATTAATTCTTAGAAAGGCAATTAGAGTGAAAAGTTCTAAAATACTATGTAATTATGACTAATAGTCAGAAAAGCTGGTGTTGTCATCGGAAACTTAAGCAAGCTCTTGGAACCAATTGGAGCTTTGTTTTCATCATACAATAATAAGCACTATTTAACACATATTGTTATGCCAGTGCTCTTCTAAATACTTTAACATATAATACTGGCCCGAAACGGTGGCTCATGCATGTAATCCCAGCACTTTGGGAGGCTGAGGAAGGACTGCTTGAGCCCAGGAGTTCGAGACCAGCCTGGAGAACATGGCAAGACTTCGTCCCTACAAAAAAATAAAAAAATTTGCCAGGCATGGTGGCACATGCCTATAGTCCCAGCTACTCGGGAGGCTGAGGTGGAAAGACCATCAGAGTCCAGGAGGTTCAGGCTGTGGTGAGCTATGATCATGACACTGGATTCCAGTCTGGGCAACAGAATGAATTAACTCCAAATAGATAAATACTTTTATGTGTAATACCTACAGAAAGTAACTCATTTTATCTTCAAAACATCCTTACAAGGTAGCTACTGCTATTATTCTAGTTTTACAGGAAAAGAAACCAAGGCACAAGGTAAGCTCATTGCCCAAAGACAAAGAGCTGGTGAGCAGCAGACGTAAATATGCCAGTTCCAACTTCTGTGTGCTGAACCACTGCACTACACTGCCCTTTATAAATGTAGCTAAACGTGCTCCATTTCTCTTCTAGATGGAATTAACACCAGATGGATAAACTCTATGAGGTATTATGTAAAGAGAAATGTTATTTTAACTCTCACTCATTCACCAACCACTCACTGAGTACCCGTAAAGAGATCTGGTAGGGTCTGGGGTAGAAGAGCTCAGAGCCTACAGAGGGGAATAGACAAACTGTCATGAAACTGACTTGATAGAGGAATGTAAAATGTACTACCTTCACTCAGAACAGGGGTCAGGTCAGAACAGGAAAAAGTTCTCCTAGAGAAGACAAATCTGGGTCTTGGTGAATATGTGAGAGCAACAGCCTGGGTGGAAGTACTTAGAGGAGCTCAGGGAAGGGTTGGGATTCATATTAGAGGAAAATGCTCCCGTGGATATGAGAGTTGGGCATTTTCTGGGAATTGCAGTTTGATATGACTGGAATAGAACATATTTATGTGGTGGGAGATGAGATCAGAGAGGAAGGCTGTTTGCCATGCTAGAAAATATTCCTGTAGGAGCAAAGCTGGAGGGAGGAGAGACTGGGGAGTCGGGAAGGAAGAGGATATAATGCACAGTCACTGCAAAATTCCAGTTGAGAAATGGAAAGCTATCAGCAAAGACATTGATGGTAAGTGACTTATTGAAGAGATATAGATATTAGAATCAACAAGACTTGTTAACTTCAATGTAGAGAATGACAGTGAGGGAAAGGTAAGGAAAGACCTTTCCTTGGAGGGAATTCCAGGTCTGCTCAAAAGAAAACCTTCATGGAAAAATGAAAAGGTGGCTAACAAGAGACTATGGCTTGCTCTGTGTTTTCCATGTGACTCACAAACCGCTGATGATACAAAAGATTTGGGGGCATGGATGAGCATGTTTTGTGAAAATCTGTAATTGTGTTCATGTTTATCAGAAAAAGTAACTATTCTATAACCTGTAAGTTCTCAGATAGCTATAGCTCATCATTTCTCAACTTTAAGAAAAATATTAATAACATATATGGGAAACAGCAGTCCAAACAGTATAAATGGCCTCACCAGGAAGTCAGGATGCAAATTTTAGCCAGAAGACAGATACTGCCAGGTATCCAGATGTGGAAGGCCCTACGGCAATCTGCACACTAAACTTTGCAAATCACAAGGAAATTGTTCGCTTGCGATTGTTGTGCTCCGATAAACCTGAAAAGTAACAATTCCTAGTTCCAAACAGACCCTTGTTAAATGTGCTGTGCGTGAGTAAATGTACCCGTCCCGCCACTCATTAACTTTCGCTGTTAGTTACCTTCACTGCACCTGCCCTGCTCCTACAGCCGGTTCGCTAACTACCTGAAGTCAGAGGATCATTTTGCATCTTCTCCTACAGCTATAGACGTGACTCCCAAACTTGACTGCACATTAGAATCACCTGGGATGTGTTTTAAACTCCTGAAGCCCAGGCCTCATCCCGAAACAATTAAATCAGAATCTCCACAGGTGGAACCCAGGGGCTGGTATTTTTCTTAGTTCCCTAGAAAATCCCCAATTAAGCATCTGCATCAGCTTTTCCCTCCGACTAGCTCCATCTCCTGCTCTAGACCGAAGGGGACTCCTACTTATCCCTCAAACTCAGCTCACGCTGTCCTTGTCCGAGGGACCCTGCGCACGGTCCGAGGCTGCCAGGGGGCACCCCCAGGGGGCACCGGGAGTGCGAAGAGCGGGCGGGCACCCCCGGGCTCTGAAGGGATCCAAGGCCAGGGGGACCCGTGAGAACAGAGGCCGGCGCGGGGCTGACGGGGGCTGCTCCGGCGAGGGCCAGTCCGCGGGCCGGGCTCACCTTCTGGTCTGAGCTGGGCCCCGCCTGGCGGTACACCCCGGAGCCGTAGGCAAAAGCCAGGCTCAGCTCCTCGGGAAAGTGAGACAGGATCTTGCGGAAGGCCACGCCCGAGCTCCGCAGCGCCTGCAGCGCCATGGGCCGGGGCCGGGGCCGAGGCCGAGACGAGCGGGGCTCGGAAGGGGAGAGGAGGACCCGGCGGTAAACCTGGGTGGGGAAGGGAAGTCGGGGGCGGCCCGGAGGGGAGGAGGCTGAGAGCGGAGCGGGCCTGCGACGCTCATCGGGCAGCGAAGAGGCCCACGCGGCGCGGAGACCGGAAGGAGCCCTCGGGGCGGTGGTCGTGCCGGCCGAGCGCCCGCCCCTGGCCACGCCTCTCACCCGCACGTGCGCTTCCAAGACGCAAGAGACGGCGTCCGCCTGCTTTGGAGGACGCCAAGGGCTTGTAGCGACCCCTGGCGGTCGGAGGAGACCCTGCAGGCCGGGGCCTGCGACTCGGACAAACGGAACCAGGAGAGCGTCAGCTAACCCACCTGCTACTGAGCCCTCAGAATCCTTCTTTGTAATTCTCTCCTCAAGCCACATTTAAGAAATCACTATAAGTCGGGCTGGGTGGCTCAGCCTGTAATCCCGCGCCTTTGGGAGGCTGAGGTGAGTGGATTGCCTGAGCCCGCGGGTTCGAGACCCGCCTGGGCAGCGAGACCTCATCTCTACAATAAATCAAAAAATCAGCCGGGCGTGGACTCTGTTCTCACGGGTGCATGCCTGTAATTCCGGGCTACTTGGAAGGCTGAGGCGGAAGGATCGCCGGAGCCCAGCAGGTCGAGGCTGCGGTGGCCGGGAACGACCACTGCACTCGTCTGGGCAGCAGAGTGAGACTCCAACTAAAAAAACAAAAAAAACAAAAAAAAAACACCAGAAATCACTGTAAAATCATGCTTGTGTGTTGCAGAAGATTTTTTTTTGAGTAGGAATCCACTCTGTCTCTCAGACTGGAGTGTAGTGGCATGCTCAGGCCACTATAGCCTTGGCCTGCTGGGCTCAGGCGATCCTTCCACCTCGGCCTTCCAAGTAGCTGGGAATACAGGCGTGCACCACTATGCCTGGCTATTTTTCCAATTTACTGTAGACATGAGGTCTCACCAATTTGCTCTGACTGGTCTCAAACCGTGGGCTCAGGCAATCCTCTCACCTCGGCCTCCCAAAGGGCTGGGATTATAGGAGTGAGCCACCATGCCTGGCCTGAAGATTTTTTAAAAATGAGGTTAAATTTACTCAATACAGAATTAACCGCTCTGAAATGTACAGTTTGGTGGCATTTAGTATATATACAATGTCGTGCAACCACCTTTCTCAAATTCCAAAATTACAGAAGAGTTTGAAGATTGAGAAAAACACAAATTTGGCAGGGTGTGGTGGCTCACGCCTATAATCCCAGCACTTTGGGAGGCCAAGGTGAGAGGATTGCCTGAGCCCACGGGTTCGAGATCAGTCTGGCAACTTGGTGAAACCTCATCTCTACAATAAATCAAAAAATTAGCCGGGCAGGGTAGCATGCCTGTAGTTCCAGCTACTAGGAAGACTGAGGTGGAAAGATCATTTGCAGCTAGTAGGTCAAGGCTGCGGTGGCCATGAGCGTGCCACTGCACTCCAGCCTGGGCAGCAGAGTGAGACTCCAACTCAAAAAACAGAATAAAATAAAATAAAAACAAGCAGGGCTCGGTGGCTCAGCCTGTAATCCCGTGCCTTTGGGAAGCTGAAGTGAGTGGATTGCCTAAACCCGTGGGTTCAAGACCCGCCTGGGCAGCGAGACCTCATCTCTACAATAAATCAAAAGATCAGTCGGGCGTGGTAGCACATGCCTGTAATTCCGGCTACTCGGAAGGCTGAGGCGGAAGGATCGCCAGAGCCCAGCAGGTCGAGACTGCGGTGGCCGGGAGTGGCCACTGCACTCCAGTCTGGGCGACAGAGTGAGACTCCAACTCAAAAAAAACCCAAACAAACAAACAAACAAAAAAAACAAATTAAAAATCATGTCCTTGATCAATTCCACCATCCAGAGATTACCACACTGTCAAGATTTGACTGTGATTTCTTCCAGTTAACGCCCTTTGTCAAATACGGTGACAGATATGAAAGCACTCCATAAATTGTAAAGGACTGCACAAATGTTCTCTGATACTTGTATTTAATTTTTTGCCCTGAATATTGGTCTCACAAAGGGTACTTTAAATTCAGTCTCTTGAGGAAAGGAGACTCTAGGGGCAGGAAATGTACAACTAGAGAAACTTGCTGAAGATCCTGAGGCCATTCAGGATGTAGTTGACTTTCAGGACAAAAACTTTTCAGCTACGTTTTCCTTCCCTGATGTACACTGCCTCTCAAAAATAACAGAAGTAGTAATATCTAACCTTTAGGTAATGGTGATACATTTTTCATGTGCATTTGTCACTGAATCCTCACTAGTGCCCTGTGGGGAGGAGGTTATTGCCACCATTTTGCAAATGAAGACACTAAGGCTTAGTGAGATAGAGCTACATGCTTAGGATCATGTCAACCTGTGGCAAAGCTCGAGCGAAGATCCAAGTTGGCTCCCACTATGGTGTTTCTACAATTCTACCCTGGCCTTGAGGAGTTTTTAGCAGGGACCAGTCTCGATCAAATGTTAGTATGAATTGGTGTGGGGAGAGAAGTGGGGAGACCAATTAAGAAGCTGTTATCAGGCAGGGCCCTGTGGCCCACGCCTATAATCCTAGCACTTTGGGAGGCCAAGGTGAGAGGACTGCCTGAGTGCCTATGGGTTCGAGATCAGCCCTGGCAACTTGGTGAGACCTCATCTCTACAATAAATTTAAAAATTAGCCAAGCATGGTGGCGCGTACCTTTAGTTCCAGCTACTTGGAAGGCTGAGGCAGAAGGATCGCCTGAGTCCGGTAGGTCAAGGCTGTGGGCTGAGAACATGCCACTGCCCTGCAGTCTGGGTGACAGAGTGAGACTCCCACTCAAAAAAACCCAAAAACAACTGTTACCAAAATAAAAAAGAAATAAATATAAATAAATAAATAAATAAGAAGTTACCAGCCTGGCGCAGTGACTCTAACCTGTATTCCCAGCACTTTGGGAGGCAGAGGCAAGAGGATTGCCTGAGCCTACGAGTTTGAGACCAGCCTGGGCAAATTGGCACGACCTTGTCTCTATAATAAATCAAGAAATTAGTTGGGCATGGTGTCCCATGCCTGTAGTTCCTGCTACTTGGAAGGCTGAGGTGGAAGGATCATCTGAGCCCAGCAGGTGGCCATGAGTGTGCCACTGCACTCCAGCCCGGGTGAGAGAGTGAGCCTGGCTCAAAAAAAAGAAGCAGCTTTTGCCATACTTCCACCATGAACTGAAAATGACCAGGTCTAAGTGTTAGAAAGAGGGACAGGACTAATGCAATTGGAAAAATTATTTAAATTCACACTCTTGGCCTGGCACTGAAGTAGATGCTAAGGCTTTTGAGATTAAATCTGAGCTGCCACCTTGAGGTAGTTCAAGGCCTGTGAAGAGAGGAAACAGACAAGCAAATCAGAATACAATGTGCAGTAACAAAGTTGGATACCCAGCACTGTGAGGGAATATAATGTCCCTTCACGAGGGAACATTAATCAGTCCTGGGTGTTTAGGAAAAAGACCAGAGGAAATTTCACGGTGATGACATTTGAGCCAGTCCTTGAAGGATGCATAGGAGTTTATCAGGGCAGAAGAAAGATGGAAGAGGTTCTACCAAGAAATAATTAATAGGACTAAGTGACAATAATAATAGTGGATAAGCCAGGCTGGGTGGCTCAGGCTGTAATTCCGCGCCTTCGGGAGGCTGAGGTGCGCCTCAGCACCTCAGGATTGCCTGAGCCCGCGGGTTCGAGACCCACCTGGGCAACTTGGCCAGACCTCATCTCTACAATAAATCAAAAATCAGCCGGGCATGGTAGTGCGTGCCTGTAGTTCCAACTACTTGAAAGGCTGAGGCGGAAGGATTGCCGGAGCCCAGCCGGTCGAGGCTGCGGTTGCCGGGAGCGGCCACTGCACTCCAGTCTGGGTGACAGAGTGAGACTCCAACTCAAAATAATAATAATAATAATAGTAGATGTCATGTATTAAGCACTTACTATGCCCAAATACTTTTTATATTTATCTCTTTTCATCATCCTAAAGACCCTGTAAAGCAAAAGTTATCTATGAGTGTAATATTTTTCACATTAGAAAACAGGGGTCCTATAAAGAAAAGTAAATGTTCCAAAGTCAATCAGGAGAGCGGTGAAGTCAGAATTTGAACCCAGAGCTCCCCATCTCCAAAGGTCTTTGCCACTGTGTTTAAATGCCTTTGCGAAGTGAGAAAAGGAAATGGGAAATAAGCTGGTTCTAAGCTATCAGTCAAGTTTCGGGAACACCAGCAGTAACCAAAGAAGCGACCAAGACACTAGAATAAGGAAGGCAGGGGAGGGATGCACTGTGTGTCTCCGTCTCCCTGTGTGAGCACAGTCATTTTGGTTCATTCTGACTAAATATCACCCTTGCCCAGATTGCTGGAATCTGAAGTGTACACACTGTGGAATTACACTGAAATCTTTCACCAAAAGACTGGATCAATCTATGACTAGACATTTCCTTTCTTTCTTTCTTTTTTTTTTTTTTAGTTAAATTCTCACTCTGTCACCCAGACTGGAGTGCAGTGACCACTCCCGGTCACCGCAGCCTCGACCTGCTGGGTCCGGCGATCCTTCCGCCTCAGCCTTCCAAGTCGCTGGAAATACAGGCGCGCGCTATCATGCCCGGCTAATTTTTTTATTTATTGTAGAGATGAGGTCTCGCCTGCCCAGGCGGGTCTCGAACCCACGGGCTCAGGCAATCCACTCACCTCAGCCTCCCAAAGGTGCGGTGTTGGGAGCCAACATCTACAGTTATACAGTTGAGGCCTATGAAGGCCCATGTTGGAGATCTGCTTTTGACATAAAAGCATCAGTGATACCTGTAGTACTGATATATGAATAGTGACCAGTTTGTATATGTGACATAAAAGCTTATATTACTTGAAAGTAAACCTTTTAAACCGTTAGGCTAAAATTTTGGGTAAAGCCTTACAGCAGAAAAACATTCTGT